CAACAACATGCTGTAGCTTTTGGTCAGCTCTGAAGCAGTTAGGATGTCACCCTGTAGGATACTGTAGTACCTAATTTAGACGTACCTTTAGGTAGAAGTGTGAACTGCTTTTTAAAGATTTTATTGGAAAACAATTATTACCTGCTATTGGTTTAGTTCATATACATTTACATAAATTAAAAACCCTATAAAATTGATCTTAGATAACTAAAACATCATCTTGAACCTTTCTAACAGAAGTAAAGTTGAAAAGATCAAACAAGTCAACATACTTTTCAAAGGAATGTATGAAATGGCACTAGTTATCTTTGGAGTTACATCAAATTTTATTTTTCATTAAACAGTATTTCTTCTTTTTTGACCAAGTGCTAGCTTCTTTAGAAAATCTTCCTCTCAATAATTTTTTTCATTTCAATCAATTTTATATTTATATAAGGGCTAATCCACAGTATAAATGAGTTTTTCCACTCACTCACAAAAAAGACAACAGAATATTCCTTTTTAGAGGAAAGCCATTTAGAATAGAAACATCACTGTTGTTAAGGCAATCCCTCTAAACAAGGTCCCAAACAACAAACACCGACTCTGTAACAGAAGTAACTGAACAAAGTTGAACGACCTCTGTTATGTACTAAATAACAACTGGATTATCACTACTCCCCTTGCTGGTCTTAGTATTTAAAATATTAATGAAATATAAGAATGACTCTAGTTACATATGAACTACCACCAGTTATATTTTGTATTACCTGTCTCAGAAGATGCTTTGGACTTTTCTCCATTGTACTGATCAAGTGTACTCAGACATCCAGAAGCTCTCCTCACATCCCATAATTTTACTCTACCATCAGCACTAGGAAAAGCAGATTTGCTACAATTAGGGAAATTGAGTGCACTACAGTTCAGGAACTGTCTTTGGCACTCACCTTGGTACAGCAACTATTCTGAAGCACTCATCATGTGGGCACACTCAAGTCAACAGAATTCCATTAAAAATATTTTAAGGCAGATTTCAGACTTCTATTTACATGTATTAATGACTAGCTGGCACACTATGAGGACCTAAGAGTGAATCTTCATCTGTAATACAATAAACTTGTCTATTTGATTACAATGTAAAACCCTTGCATACACAGAGAGCTTGGATGAATAAACCTGCTAATTCTTCTGTTGCCTAAACTGTAGCTACAGACTTCGGCATTGTCTGTAATAGTGGTCTGAGAATCTGAGCTTTTGATATCACGTATCTATTGTATGACTGGTGCACAAGCTGTCTACAAGCAAACAATTTTTCATTTGCTACAAGACAAACAACAAAAAAAATCACAAACAAACAAACAAAGCAACCCTAAACAACACACTGTTAAAATATTTTCCAACTTTAATAAGCCCTTCAGAAGCTTGACTTCAGAAACCAAAGGTTTGCAAATCTGGTAACTTCACTAAACTTATAAAACAGCCATTCCACTAAACTCATGAAATAGCTAATCTTCTCTGCAAAAGAAAAAAACAACAACATTGCATCTAAAAAGCAAGAAATGTCACACTATAATCAAAAGCTAATATACATAGGAGTTACAGAATAGCCAGGATGATTTTTTACATTAAAAATGTCTGAACAGAAAACAAGAAAAGCCCAGGGATATTAACACACAATCCATATCCACTGAATTACAATTGCTTGAATAGTTACATTAGCTAAGCTACCCAAGTTATTCTTTTTGACATAAGTAAGTGTAATTACTGGAATAGTAATTTGAGCGTGACATGTTTTACTTTACTACAATATGGATTAGCAATGCACACACTAATAAACAGTAGAAAGTGTCTCCTTAATATTCTACTGTTTTCTTATACCAGTAGTTAGAGTTAGTGTTTCAAAACTCTGTACAAACTTAGTATAAAATAAGCATAATTTGTTGACAACTCTTCAGGTTTCATTTTGCTAGGGAAAAGCTACAAAATTACAAACAAGTAAAAGTCAATGAAGAGAATTAACTCAAGAAGTGCATTTGAATTGAAGTAAGTCTGCCTAAAGAATGTATAAAATTTTTCCTGACCAATATTCCACTGCATTTAACAGTTCAGAAACATCCTTACCTTCCTGTTGCCAATATGTATTCGTGACGTGGGGACCAAGACACTGCCAATACTTCTTGTCTGTGACCTAAGATTTACATGAAAAAGTTTATTATACACACCATTTTGTGTAAATAAATGAAAGTAAAAGCAAATATTTAATTGTACAGGATTCACCAAGCCAGAATAATAATTTGAATTGTAACATCAATTTAAATTTTGTGAAACTATTATTTTGGAACCGTAGTTATTTCTCCTTTTTCCTTGAGTGGGACTGCAGTGAGCAGAAAGTGATGTACACAGTATTTCATATGTATAATTTTTGATAATAAAGATGGTTTTACCTATGCAAAATACATTACAGCTCAGTCACAGCTTTTTGTGCAGCACTGGTATTTTCATACATAAAAGGAACTTTCCATTTATTTTTCTTGAAATACTTTAATGATGTTAAATTTAAATTATATCTACCTTACAATTAAAGCTTTACTCATTTTATCCTCTAAGAGTTTTATCCTGAATTTGAAGTACTTTTTCCCTTAACTATTAAAGTATCAATGAAGTTAATGAAGGGTGTTGAACACAGGCCCTGCAAGGAACAGCTAAGGGAGCTGGGGGTTTTTAGTCTGGAGAAAAGGAAATTTGAGGGGACCTTACAGCTCTCTAAAACCACCTGGAAAAAGCTGTAGCCAGATGGGGGTCAGTCTCTCAAGCAACATACAGGAGAGGAAGTGGCCTCAAGTTGCACCAGTAGAGATTTTGATTGAGTATTAGAAATAATTTCCATATTTTCAAAATAAAATTCTGGTAGGAAGAGGTTGACCAGGGCAGTGGTTGAACCATTACCCACGGAGATATGCAGAAGATGTATAGATGCGCCACTTAAAAACATAATTCAGTGGTGGATTTGGCAATGCTGGGTTAAGAGCTGGACTCAATAATGTCTCATGCCATAACAGAAACATATTGCTGAAAAATAAACTAAATCATAAAATACATTTTTGCTAACACAGTTTAGAGGTGCTGTGAACCACCTTGTCCCTGGTGCATCTTCTAGTAGGTGCTTTCCCATTACCTGAATTAATCAAAGCACTGTGATGATCAGGATAATAGGAAAAACCTCCAAGATACAGGTACTACAGGATACAAGAAGGTTCAGAGCACACAGATTTATTTGGATCCATTAATTAAACTACAGCCATACATATACCTCCATTTCAGCTGCTAGAGCTAGCCTGTGTGAAAATATTTATACATATGGTCTGATTGACCATATGACACTACTGATTGCTTCAGTTCTACAAAGAATTACTAGATTATGCCTAATCAATAACATATTCTCCTTCCATTTAATCCTCCAATATTGCGCTTGAGGTAACAGGCTATTACAGGTTGTATACAAAGATACAACAGAGCTTGTGCCTGGAAAGCATTAACTCTTGTGTCAAAATTAGGAAGCCCCGATAAAATCAAACAGGATCTTTAGAGAACAATTTTTGTCACTGCCCTGTCTGGAGCTCTTGGTTCTAGGAACAAAACATGATATGCCTGTTGTAGCCAATTCAGTTTGTTGAAGTTTAATGGCTTAATCTCTGCATCACAAAAAAATCACCTATGCTCCTTTGAGATTTAGCTGGCTAGTGAAGAAATAAAGCCGCATTTGCACATTGCTGTGGCTGAGTTAATGCTTCTCTACAGTTGAAGCATGAAGATTTGCGTCATGATTGCCTTCTCTTGAGCATGTGTATATATACTGACATTCCAGAAAGTACACATTAGAAAAGGGCCACCAAAGGCAAATTCTCATTGAGTGCCAGAAATAATGGATTATGGAACAATAAAACCTTACATTTAACTGAACTAGGAAAATGCAAAGGATTTGGTAATATCCTTCTACAGAAAGCTTGTTCTACAGAAATCAGAAACTTTTAAACAAATCCATTCAAATACCTCTATGGGATACTTTCTTAAAAGCAGTGAAATTTTCTTTTTGTTTTGGTTTCTTTTCTGGGGGGTAGTGGGGAGTTTCTCTTGTTTTACTTAGTCATCTTTTTTAAAGACCAAGTAAAACATCACTTGTTGACCAGTCCATAACACCCCCAAACCAATGACTACATTTAACCATATCATAAATAGTAATCAGTATTGATTAGAGCACGAAAATGCCCAAACATTGGTAGTAAATGCCCATTAATTAATGTTTGTATTCTGCAATTCATTTAGCTGTGGAAAAACACCCAGAAGAATCTCTTGCCACTGTGTAACTTTCACAACTGGATACAAATAAATTAGTCATGTTACTGACAAAGAATACATTGTATACCATGTTTCTTAACAGGACTTGTTTTTACTCAAAGTAGTTATTGTTTAACATTTATGTTTCAGACTAAAAAGTACCCTGAAGAATGTGAGAACTGGATCCAGACTTCAAGTCACAGAGCTGTACTTTGGGGCTTTTGGTACCAACTGTAACAAGAGAAACAAAGACAGCTAAAAAACCCCCACCATCTGAAAGAACAACAAAAAATCTTAGCAATGACAAAAAAATAGAAGAAAAATGCTAGCTGCAGAACTGCTCATTCAGTCAGAGCAATGCTTCTATTAATATGATGCTTCATGCTTAATGCTTCTGTTAATAGATTTACATTTTTAGTCCAAACAAATTTACCATGTAACAAACAAAATTTAGAAACTGGAAGTAAACAGCATCATACTTGGGAAACTTAAAAATACCTCCTCAAACATTTTTTTGCTGAACATAGTTAAATTGTGCACATGTAAGCAGTACACAGATCTATTTACACAATTTACTATATTTGGATCTAATAACTTTTAAATTATAACTCATGTAATGAGAGAATCTAATTACAGCTAAGAATTTTATCTGTAAGGAGAACAGATTGATGCATTATTTCAGAAGAACAGATATGATACCCTCAATGACATCATCCAACTAATGGACAGTATTTTAATGGGCCAGTAAACCTACATCTTATCAAGACTTATTTATGTAAGAATAAGACAGAGTAGGAGGAAAAACCCAATTGAAATATTACTTGCTTATTTTTATAATAATCCTTATCTATATATATCTATCTGTTTCTTAAAAACAGACACATACCTGCTATTAAGCAATGCTTTGTAGCAACTGGAGACATGTGATGGCTATAGACTGTCCCTTCAAAGTGAAATATATCTGCAGGCTGATAATAAAAATATTAAATTAATTAAAATGCAAGTATATTAACAGAATGTAGATGCTCACCATTATTTTTCAAGTAACAGCTACAAGTAAGATTAATACAAATATTACTATTTACATAGTAATAATAACTCGCCTGGTTAGAAGCCAAATGGCACAAACATCACAGAGTAAGCCTGTTTCCAACAGCAGAACAGCACCAGAGATCAGAGATGATCAAAAAGACAGACCAAGAAAACTGACAAAGGAGAAGCATGAATGGAAATTGTCTCTCAAGAGATGGTCACAAAACTATCTAACTACCCGGAACACTAATTGTTTATGAAAAAATTTAAAAACAGCAAAAAAAACTATATAAAAAAAAAAAAAAAAAAAACCAACAAAAAAAACCCACTAAAAAACTCCCAAACCAAACAAGTTATAGATTTGTTCCCTACTAAGGCCCTAGAATGAAAGACCTCTTTTCAAAAAATTATTTCACCATCTGTGAAGCAGCAGTCAAATAGTATCAATGTAAATTCTGGATCCCTATGAACATTTACGCATCAATGACATTATGAATCAATGTAAATGTTCAAAGGGAACAGGACAAACAGCAGTCATGAATTCATAGTTCAACACAAGTTGTAAGGATTACTGAATCAAAGCAACATAAATTCCTAAATAATCTGTTTACCTTATTAATGTCAGTTACATTGGTTAGCATGATTTTAATAGTTTTTCTCATTCTCTACTGATTTTTAGCAATGGTGTTTATAATACTTGTAACAGCAGAAATCTGGACCTGGATCCTGTATGCCACGACTATCAGTCCTTCAAAAGTGCTGGTTATTAGACACTGGTTATTAAAAATAAGTAGCTACTGCCATTAGACTGAACAATCCCCCAAGAATGTACTGCAGACTAGACCTTGCTGGACAAGTTTACCCAACAAAAATTCAACTAGCTGTATTCCTGTTCACAGCAAAAGCAGAAAGAACTGTCCCAAGGGTTCCAAGCTCTCCTGCAGTTTAAGACATTCAGGTCTTCAGAAATGGGCAGGTACACAGCAAGATGTACACAAGTGCCTGGACCACCATGACACCACCCTGCTCCTGCACCCACAGTTCTAACAGGTGGCTGTTATCATCTTCAAGATGCACAGTCCTCTTCACCTGTGTGAGAACTTCAGATACACAATAAGTAACATACACAAAGAAGGTTGCAATCTGTAGAAGCTCACTTACTTGTAAAGTGTTTGTATCCCATATTTTCAAGGTTTTATCAAATGAGCTCGATGTAAATATGCCAGTGTCATGAGGATACCACTGGACTGTCTCCACACTGAATTTATGTACATCAGGATGACTCCTAAAATCAATGAAAATATTGCAACTGGTTAGAGTTTTGATAACCATCTTATAGTATTTGATGATGAGTTGAAAACGTAAACATTTTTCTTAATTTGTCCTGAGTTTTACAAGAACTGTATTTTTGCTGGCTTGATTTTCATTCAACTAATATTCATTACTTTGAAGAGTCTTCATTTCAAGAAACTACAGATCATTATCTTTTAAAAATATGGTAACTGTAGCATATCTCAAGACACTGTCTTTTGAAATATTTAAGTTACAATGTTTAGAGATCTTATATTAAATGTGATGGCCTAATGCTACAAACCATTTATGCTTCTTAGAAATGGATTCTCTGAAAAATACAATCACATAGACAGTTAAAAAAATCATTAGTATTACTGAATAATTACAGCTACATAGTTATTGGCAATTCCTGTCTGACAAAATCACAAGAGAGAAGCAGGCTATGTTACTGAGAGTCATTTATATTTGCATTCAAAAATCAAAGAGAAAGAACAATAGGAAACTTTCAACTGAACTGTGGATATTTAGATACTGCAAGAGAATTAATAATTAACTGTGGCAGAAACAACAGACAGCAGAGCCAATCTTGACAGCTCCAGGATACAGACTCAACTGACCAGGCTCTGAATAATATATGTCATTCAAATACCTGGTAAATGACTCATATCCGAGCTGGATGCACATGGATCCAGCTTCAGGGGCCCAAAACCAGCCACTTGCTTACTCTACCCTCTGCAATTGGATGAGGAAGAACACACAAATGATGAAGGTGTGAAAAGTTGGAATTGAGATAAATATATTTTAGCAAGTGAAAGGGAATAAATCAAAACAAACCCTATAAATCAAGGAAAAAAACAAACAAAACATACCTCCAGCCAGTGAAGTGATGCAAAAGTAACCCCTTACCATAGGCTTAGACTGCTGCACATAACATTTTACAGTATGGAATATCAGTATGTCTCTGGTCAATGTGGGTCAGGTGTTGCAGCTGTTTCCCCCTGAGGAACCGTCCACCCCATGAAGGGCCAGTGACAAATGGTGAACGGCTTGACACTATCAAGCACTCTTCCGGACTCACTAAAACACAAGTGTGCTATCAAGACTGGTAACAAGTCCAAAATGTACTACAAACTACCACAAAGAAAATTAACTCCATCCCAGATAAATGCATGCAGTACTTATGACAAAACTGCAGCTAGAAAAGGGTTAATGAGATTTCATTATTTTAGCTCCTATCTTTGCATTGTTCTATCAAATGTCCTGGCCTCTACAAGCAGTAACTATTGCAGGGGTATCATTATGCAAACAGAGATGTAGATTTTCAGTACTGCCATGTATAGAAAGAGTATGCACCTCTCAGTGTACCTATGACTGGCCTAAATCTGTCTACAGCAGCACTGCATAACTACCTTTTAAAGGCAGAAGTGGATCATTACAAAGGAGAATGAAAATCAACACCCTTCACCTCTGAAGGGAATTAAAAGAAATCATCTCTATAGGATGCTGAATTCAAAATAACAGTCTTACACACTGTTGTAAACAAAGTGTAGTCAACTAGGCTGAAGGCAGAAAACCATACATACTTGCTTTCCTAAACATGTGTTGGCATACCTTTAAAATATCCCATCCAACAGTTGTGATTTGTCTTTGAACAGACCTAAATTCTCAACTGAAAGAGGGCTTTCAATTCAAAAGTGCTGAAGTGCCATTTTTAACAACTCAGCCTCAGCCATCTATCAAACTGTCTCCTCACACTTATAACATTGGTTCCTCCTTAGTCAAGAATATAGGTCAACAGTAAAAGATATTTAACTCAACACAGACTCTCAAATAAGTTGAACTCTTGATGCAGAATAAAGTTCCCACAATCCAATCAGCTCGCTTACTGCTCCTGAAAACCTCTTACCCATGATGGACAGCATGGCTGCATAAACAAACCCTCATTTCCTCCAGACAAACCAGGAAGGATGTGACTGGTATCCTGGGAACAGGATGGGGAGTTCTAAACAGCAAGACTGACTTACTAAGGAACAAAACTAGTCACAATAAATAAACTGAAACATTCTCAAGGATCTTTGCTTTTGGAACTAATCAATGGTGTCAGATGGATATATGACTTCAGTGGGAAGGTGTTGATGAAAGACCATCAATTGATCACAGACACACTTAGCATAGCACAAACCAAAGTTTCTTTACCACTTACTTCTATACAAGCTCAGCTGTGGATGCACTGATGACAGCTACAATCACAAGGGAAGGCGAAGAAACCATTACTCATTGAAATTTGAGAGGTAATTTGGGATAATACAAGTGAATTGCAAAGAAATTCCAGTTCTGCTGGTACTTAGTCAATTTTACCTATGATCCTATCAGCAGCACAGCAACAGCTTTTGTGTTTACAATACGTAATGCTTTCACTGTATGATATATACCCAGTCCTTGCATTAGGATTAAACCACAACAGAACTATACTCATCCTCTGAAGCATAGAGTATGGGCCTGAAAAGATGGAAATAAATAGAAGACTACTGATGCCAATATGCACATTGCATGAGGGCAACAAGGGTAAGTTTTTGAACATAACAACACCAAAACCCAAGGCATTTGTCATGACACTGAGCAAAATATTTCTCATTTTGAGATTCATCTTAATGAAAACTTGGAAACTGTGTATATTGGTAAAGGATGAGCTTTTATGAGACCCTCTTGTGATTTTGTATTTGTGGACAACATTGCTGTAGACACAAGTAATCACTCTCATATTTGTGCTGTAACTTTGCCAACGTTATGGAATGTGATTTAAATTATTCAGCTCTTACGTATCCTATTAAAATACTAGAATCTAATTATACTCTGATTCAAGATTGCAGCCTACTCCCATTGGTATGAACCTCATGCTGCTAAAGAAACTGTTATACCATGAAGACCTGAGCTGCTTGTTGAAAACAAATGCAAAAAAAATGAACAACAGACTTTGTTTACTGTCCATCATGATACAGAAGAAATAAATCACGTGATGGAGTATGTGAATAAAGTGGCGGGACACCCTTTTTGGATGGTCACTAAAAGCTACCAGAATTCTCAACAGTCTTCACCCTGTTGTTATGTTGTTGATGGTAATCTAATAATCATATTGTATGTTAAGGTTTGGATAATTATGAAACAATTAGCCTATTGGCTACCCTCAATAATACCAGATAACCACACACTAGAAATGTATTAGATGATCTGCACTCTATAATAAAAGTGTGAAACATTCTTAAATTCTATTTGGATATTGTGAAGTTTGAGTGACTAGTCATGGGTGGATTATGTGGAAAGATGGCTGGGGTTGCAATGGGAGGAAACTGAGAAGCTATATTCACATCCTAACAGAAATTATAATGATATGGGAATTATAGGGTCAAGTGCAGTTGCTTCTTCTGGATGGAATGTGGTCAGCATGACTAAAAGCTATTCCACAATGACTGCCCATACAAACAGCCTGCAACCTCAAGCAGCTGCTAAGGGGGATGAAATGGGGGGTGTAGCCAAGACACCATGGCCAGGCACTGTTGAAATCCCTGCAGGGAGGGGTACTTTTTATCTGATAAACCACATAGCACCTGTCCCCCAGGGAGACATAAGATGTCTTTCTGTTGAACCAGCAACTGTGGTGAAATCACTCTCCTTGGATGAACTTGGTTCATTATCATTTAACACAGACCTCCATCCCAAAGTCCAGAATCACAGAATATTCTCAGTTGGAAGGCAGACACAAGGATGATCAAGTCCAACTCTTAAGTGAATGGCCCACATAGGAACCAAACCCACAACCCTGGCATTACTAGCACCATGATCTAAACAACTGAGCTAACCTCAAGTTACCCACCTCCAGGCAAGACTGCCCCTCACTGAGCACATGCTCTGCATTTCACTGACTGTATCTTTAAGAGCAAAGGGAGATAATTTTACACCATTTAGTCATAAAGGTGTAATACCTCAAGCTCCAACTAAACATAAGGAACAGTATAGAAGTAAGTCAAAAACTGTGAAGTTAGGGAAGATTCCATCGTAACTTCTGGGATAAGCCAACAAAGTGATCTGTCTTCTTCCCCAAAGGAATGCCTGTTGGTAAGAATCTTACTCTATATGTGTTTTACTAGGGATTACATCTTGTCTGTATATTGGTCTGAACATGTTTTTACAGTGAGAAACAATCACTGGCAGGCCTCAAACCTTAAACTGTCATAATTCTCTTTTATTAATAAAGACTGTTATTCCATAGTTCAAGTTAGTCCTTCATGGACACTGGCACTCACTGGAAGTAGGTAATATACTTGGATAAAGTAGGAAACCCCACTGAGGGGGTCTCTTGCTGTTGGTGTATGTCCCTGAACACGTCAGTTGAACCATCCTCTGATCCAGCAGGACTGTTCAGTCCTGAAACAGAGTGCTGAAGGGCTGGTTGGACACAAAGGACTCAGCTTTCCCAGGGCACCGACAGACTAATCCAACACTAGGGGCTGAGGAAATCTTCTCTTTTCACATGACATCTATAGTTCTGATTTCATCTGAGCTAATAGACCTTTCTGCTCACTTGGGTTGCTACAAAGCAAAAAAGACACTTTTAAGGAGAGTTAGCCTGAAGCCAGCACTAACAATACTAAGCAAGAGATACTGAGCAACTTTAGAGCTTAGTTTAATGACTTCTGCATTGCTTCTCCAACTCTGAGGCATATCCGAGAATTGCATGTTACTCTGGCACTAAAAGTGAACAAATTTTATGCCTCTATTTTTGATGGATGTGTGCTAGTTTTGGCTGGAGTAGAATCAATTTTTTTCATAGTGCCTAGCATGGGATAAGTTTCAGATTTGTGCTGAACAGAGTTAGTAACACAGAGATGCTTTTGTTGCTGCTGAGCAGGGTTTACAGGGAGCTAAGGCCTTTTTTGCTTTCATACTGACATGCTGATGAGGGGACTGAGAGTGCCTGGGAGGCTGGGAGGAGACACAGCCAGGACAGGTGACCCCAGCTGACCAAAGAGATATTCCAGACCATGTGACATCAAGCTCAGTATATAAAGCTGGAGGCAACAAGGAAAGAGGAGGAGACACATTTGGAATGATGGCATTTGTCTTCCCAAGTAACCATTATGCATGATGGGGCTCTGCTTTCCTGGAGATGGCTGAAGAAGTGAATTAATTTCTTGGTCTGCTTGTGTTTGCAGCTTTTGCTTTCTCTATAAAACTATCTCAACCCAGGAGTTTTCTAGATTTTACCCTTCCAGTTCTCACCCTGATCCCACTGGTAGGGGAGTGAGCAAGCACCTCTGCAGAACTTGGTTGCTGGCTGGAGTTAAACCATGGCAAGCTAAAAATCTTCAGTACCTGCAGAGCCAGGAAATCAAGCTTGACTCAGAGTGAGCTTACTCCTGGGGAGGCATTTCTATGCAATGTGCAGAAAAATCTAAACCCATGGAACTAATTATCTAGGTTCATTAACTATAAGTGTACGATACCAGACGGTAATCAACTCTGCAAGAGAAAATCAATTCTCCCATAATCCACAGGGCTGAGGAATGAACTAACGAACTCTTGAGCAGCTCCGCAGAAATCACCTTTGATCTGGCTAAGCTGAGTAGCGGCTACATGCCGTTCAGCCTAGTTTAATGTCTCAGGATGTACACAGTTCCCAGTTCATTCCATATGAAGTATTTTCACCCATTAATCAAATTATCCCAGCATTTTCTACCAAAGACAAATACAGAATTAATTCTATGGATAATAGGTCACTGTAATTCATTCTTCCTAGACATATTTTGAGTAGTAGAGACTACCTTAAAGATAAGCATTATCTGCATATTATCTAGAAATAGGTACTGTTTGTTTACCCTCAAATGCCATTTTTTGTCACAGGTCAGCATGAATCATATGAAACCAGATAAAGCTCATTGTGCTGACTCCCAGGAAAACAGGAAAGGTTTTATTTTTGTATTTGCAGCAGTGGCCCTCTATTCAAGATGGTAAATCAAAGGGTAAATCACAGTCTTTTGTGATTTTTACCTCTTTTGTTGTTCTATATGACTGGATCATCAGCAAGCCCAGTTCAGGGTGTATTAAGAAACAGCTTTAAAAGGCCTTTAGCAAGATATTCTTTAAGCAACTTGGATACCAGACCTGTGCTCTGCTGCGCAATCTTGGAACACAGGCAAACTTTCACAAGATGTCAGTACTATATCCTTCAAAGAGCTAGACAGAGCATAGGCAGGAGTTTCTGCAGTATAAATTCACTTATTAAGTCAGAAACTCTGAATAATATTCCAAATATCTGAAGATATATATAAACTGTAGCTAATTAGCTAGTAAGTATTTAAAACATACTAGGAAGCTTCACGAATACTATGAATAAATAATTGCGGCAAGAAACCTACTAAGGTTATTTAAGCAATAACATCATAGGCCTGTCATTTAGAGCAGTGTCACACAAAATCAAATTCTACTAACAAATTGTATGCCTTGAGTGGCAAGAAATAAAAGACACATCTATTCAAATTAACACCTACTCAAGAAAGAGATAACCAACTAACCATCCTCCTAAACAGAATTTTCAAGGATGAAGTATTTCTATTGACCTAACTGAAGTTAACAATAGCCTGACTTTAGCACAGATTTGACAGCTTTTTCATTGTGCCTTCTTCACATGAATTTCTTCAATTTGCTGCATCTGTTTCAGAATTAATTTCAGTTTTGAGATTTGGAGCTTTATAGTCATTATATGTTCTTAGCTACAATTTAAAATAATTTTGTGCAAGAAGCCCAGCCATCAACACTTGTTCTATTAGCTATGTTCTGTTAGCCTTTTTCTTTATTATGATCCAAGATATTGTTAAGGCCTTTTATTGTTACAAATCTGTTCTGTTCTTGTATAGCTGACTCATGAAGCCTCTGACTCTTAGATCTCAAATAATTTGTAGACTTGGAAAAAGTAAGGGGAAAATGCAGCTACCAATCTATTATGAATTAGAGTATCTCTTACTGTGAGTCTCAGGTGAAGTTCTAGCCTACTATACAAGCCTTTATCCAAATAAAGGAAAAAACAGCTTTTGCTAGAAGGCTTAATGTCTATAATGGAAATTTATGAAGATTACATACAGAACGGTAGTATCCTATTCTTTAGAAAGACACATCCCATTTTTCAGTAGCACATCTGTCTTCATTCAAACATATTCTTAAGAAGTTTTGTACAAATCACTTCTGTACCTGCTGTACACCTGATGAACTAAAAATAGCTACTAGTAAAGCTGGAAAGAGAGAGAGGGGAAATAAAACAAACAACTGCAAATAGGTATTAGATTTTTTTTTTCCAAACAGCTGAACAGGATTATGCAAATAATTGCATAATAATCCTTCTTAAAAGTGCATTTACTCAAGTATATGTATTATATATATTTGGGGAATACAGGGAATATTTCTACAGCAGTACCAAAACTTCTTTCTCAGTCACTGGCATAGAGGCACCAAATTTAAAAATGAAACATTAAGAAAACTCACAGTCAGAAATTATGAGTTAAAGAAAGGTCTGGGCTTCTTTTCCCCCCCTGTCTTCTTTTTCTAGTGCTAAAATTTAAGGTTAGGATACTAGGTCTGCCTTCTTTTTGTGGTGTCTACAGCAACATAAGACTGTCTAACTTTAGTTTCCATGTGAACTGATACAACCGATACCCTTAATTTTAACTTTTGAAACTGCTATAGATTTGCTCAAACAATACCAGAGTCACTTTACAGACATTGTAATTATTAGAGTAGACAAATCAAGCATAAAACAATTAGCTCCGGCTACTAGCTTTCCAAGATTTCTGGCAGTATTTTCTACAGTCTTTATCCCAGAAATAAGAACAGACATTAATTTGCAAGTTTAATTCTAGCCACACAAGAACTATTTCATGTACTATTAAAAGACTTTCAGAGTACTTACCTTCCAACCGAAAAAAGTGCTTTACATGTGTAACTTGGTTTCCTGCTCAAGTTTTCAAGGTCATAAAGTACAATAACACCATCCGATCCACCAGATAACATGCTGAAAGTGTCAATGAAGCACAGAAGTTAAAACACTCATAACCTCAATATGCTCAATGTAATGAGAGTGTTCAACAAGACAACAAGTCCATAGTACCAAAACACAGTGAATTACTTATGTACATTTGTACCAACCAAAGTATATACTTACTATCTTCCCTCAACAGGCTCTATGTCAAGGGTGTTGATACCACTTCCATGTAATCTTTCCACATCTCTATCTTTATTTAATTCCAAACTTAAAACCCTACCCACAAAAACAAAAAAAAAAAAAAAAGGAAGAGAGATGAAAAACAGGAACAGAATCATTAAATGTTATTATGTAGCTCTGAACAGCTGAAACATAGTTTCATGTACCTTCAATGCACTTAGCTTGCCATTTTTTTGCAAAACTACATAATACACAGATAGAAATAGAAATAATTGTTGTTTGGAAAGCAAGGGAGAAATAAATTTGTAAAACAGGCTCAAAGAAAAAGTAAAATTGCATTTTGGTCAACATAGTAAACAAAACCTGGAATGTAATTTGAAAACACTAAGAAAAATATTAAGAAGCTTGTAATCACCACAGATATTGGCTACTTTGAAGCTTCATCATGTATCATCCTTTCAGGCTTCATCCTGCTTGGAACTACAGACACCTAGTGGACAAAGTACCAAGTTTACCAAGTTTACAGTATTTCCTTTAATGACACGAAGTTTATATGCTACATATTCTGCAATACTAAATAAAAACTAGGTGACCCCCAATGATGAAGCTTCCATGACAACATTTTCTAACCTGCAATTCTCAGCTTTTTGAATATGTTAATATTGCATAATCCAAAAAGAGATACTCTGCTTCATTAAATCATACTACCTGATATAAAATTTAGCCTTGCAACATAATCATAACTAAGTAGGTA